TTGCTTTATTATGAGGACCACATAATGAGGTTTTGCCTCCTTTTGATGTCACTGAGAGTGCACATCCTAAATACTGTAACATTAAGACGTGCGTGTGTCTGAGGTGTCAGCCTACTAAGGATGACAGCTGGGTTCACATATATGTCCTGATTCTACTGTTTAATAAAACAGGCACTGGATTGAAAACCAAAATAAATAAATTAAAACCAGTCCCAGTAGCTCCACTCGAATGCTCCACCACTGCTAACTGAATAAATACAGTCAGGAAGACAAACTAAGGAGCCTTTCCAAAGTGACTAATCAGCTGCTGATTGCACATGGAGTTGAGTTTTCAGGTATTATTGAAGTTACCCGTCCTAGCTAAGATATTAACTCATATTCAGTTTGAAAACAGCTCAAAAACCTCAACATTTTCAACCTTTATTTGAAGTAATAAATGATTCGGTATGCCAAGAAACGGAATATGCGTTCATTTTTTCCTGGGTTTCGTGTTCCCTTTGTTCGTGTTTGGCTTCTTTCCATCGCTGGCTTGAAGTCTGGCTTGATATTGTTTCAGTATGTCATTTTCATCCTCAGAGAACATCTGCAGCTATAAGAAGAAGGTAGAGAACAGGCTGTTGTGTTGATCACTTCCTGCTGCTCTGGCTCTTTGTCAGTAACTGATCTGCGAGTTTACCTTGTTCAGCTGCGTCTCTGTGTCATTCATATCAACTCCTTCCTTTTCTCCTATGGCACCTGCTGTCATTTCATAGAGGTTTAGTATCGCCATCTTAATCTTTCCCAGTTGTAGTGTCTTCTTTGCAGCTGTTTCCTGAATGTGGTTCCACTTTTGTTCCTGTATGAAGACAGCAACACATAATGCCGTTCACAGTGTATATTTGACCTAGCCTTAGTTGTGCTGCAGGACTGTGATCCAGGATTGTGTCCGGTACCCATGTGAGAGCTTCGGCCTGAGTCTTCTCGAGCTCGGTCTGGAGCTGAGACAGCAGACTGTTTTTCTGCATTACCACCAAGTTGTGCTTGTCCTGCAGGGTTAACAGTGCTTTCTTCTGCTGGTCGACCTCATCCTGCAACTTCATCTCCTTCTGGTAGAAGTGATCTTGAAAATGGAGCAGACTCTCTGTGTAGTCTGCGAGAGCCTCAGCATCCTCAAACTGTAACACACGGACACACACACAGCTTTGCTTGCAGCTTTATCTTCAGTGTTTTTGGTGGAGGAATCACTGTTTAACATCATTATTATCATCATTAATAATTGATACAATACTTCTGGATGGTGCTCTGTGCTGTGCTGGAGTTTGACACACAGCAGGTTTTCCCCACACGTTTTCATACAAAAAGCAACCTTTGGTTGTTTTATCCTTGTTTTATTTCGGTATTCCCTGTTCTGCATGGTTACTGTTAGTTTTACTTTTCCCAGTCTCATTTTCCCCTTTGACTTTCAGCGGTTCCTTCACTCACCCTTCCTATGTTTTCATCTCATTGTCAGTTTTTGCTTCTTGTTCCTCTTCCTCGTTAGCCGTTAGTTTCCAGTGTTCCCCTTTTTGTATTTTGTTTAGCTTGTGGGTTCTGCTTTTAGACTGATAGTAGTTCACCTGTGCTTGTCTCAACACAGCACTGGGACTACATTTTCCTGCAGACTCTAACTGTAGGCTTTTAATACTGTAAAGCTGGTATTTTAACATGGGAGTCATGAATGGATGGATAAATAGTCAAATATTGATATTTGATATCTGAGATATTTCTGAAACAGTGTTTGGTAGTGTCTGTGAAGGCTCTCAATCATCCAGGTCATCGTAGTCAAAGGAGCTTGGAAAGAAAAGCGCCTGGACTTCTTTAAGTTACTTGAAGACGTTTCACCTCTCATCCGAGAAGCTTCTTCAGTTCTAAGGTCAAATGGTGGAGAGTCCCAAACAGATGGTTTGA